ATAACTGTTATATTGGTATAAATTTTATTTTGTGGTTTGTGTCAGGGCTGTATAGAAAACGGCCAACTTGTTCAACCCAACTCCCAAACAACTCAATTTAACCTAACTCGCCAACATGTCAATCATTAGGGTTGAAATTGGGTTAGACCTAGCTCAACCCAACCCAACATGCCAACTCGTAGCTAATATGAAATTTCGATAAATTTTATTTATACTTATATACAACGTATTAGTCTATTATATGTATTAATAATGCTGCCACCTACTTTTTATTGGTAGGGCTGACAATGGGTAAGGGTAAACTTGTTAACGGTAATGTTTTGATCCATTGGATAAGGGTATGTTTAAAGAAATTTTTATCCATTACTCGTTTACCCGAAATTTAGATGGGTAGAGTATGGATAAACAGGTTTTCGTTATTCATTACTCGCTACCTGTTTACCCGAATTTTTAGTAGGTAGGATATGGATAAACATTTTTCTTCATTATCCATTATCTATTACGAAATATGTATATATATATATATATATATATAATTGTATAAAGTTAAATATTAATACACACACACATATATATATATACACACACACACACGGGAGCGATATTTTACAAATCACCCGTGTTTGTATAAACCGCGCAAATAGGCATGTGAATGGTGTGGGGATAGGATGAGACGAGGACCTCAATTCCCATCCATGTCCCCATCCCCATCCCCATCCCCATCTCCAACAATAATTTTTCTTGTTTATGTAAGTTATTTCAAATAAAATATGTGAGACACCACACATGTTTAAATTTCATATATTTACAATAAACCTACAATCCAAAATAATTTAATTTAATACAAAAAAATCACAACATCATATAATAATTAATAATCTAAAACCAAAAGAAATTCAACTTAATCCAAAAAAAAACCTTACCTCACACATACCAAAATATATCGAGTAATTATATTTTAATTTGACATTCAAAATATTGCATACTACCATAGAAAAAAATAATTTTTTTCCAAACCTAGTTAGGATATATGAAACTATGAATTCCCGATTTACATACATTTAACTTACTAATATTTATCACGTAAACGGGCCGGGCCGGGCCGGGCCGGGCCGGGCCGGGCGGGGCGACCAATACCCTTCACCAGTTTGAAACAAACGAGGATCCTCATCCTTGTCTTCATCCCCAGTTTAGCAAGGAATCCCCATCCTTGACCGGGACGGGTGGATTGGGTTCTTCGACAGGTCATGACCAATTCTCATGCCTACGTGTAAACCCATTTCAACAATTTTTTTTTATTGATAAGGGTAAGCATATAATTATGCAATGGACACGTTAATTAACAAAATATCAATATTCTATTATCTCAACCATTTTTTAATCAACTATTTTTCTTTGATAATTAGTAAAAACCGGATACTTTTTATTTATTTATTTTTTTCAGAAAATTATGGATTTCAAATTTCATCTTTTCCAAATATTTTATATTTTCATAAATAAAAAATATTCACGAAATTATGAACCATAAAATTTTGAGTTTTTTTTTTCATGAAACCATGAAACCTTTCACTATAAAATCATGAGTTTTTTTATTAATGAAAACATGAACAATGAAATCATGAGTTTTTTTATTTACGAAACCATGAAACAAAAAACACGAGAATATGAAAAATGAAACACGAAACATAAAACATAAAACCGGTAAAAAATATGGAAAAACATGAATAAAAAATAAATATATAAATTGCTACAAAAACATCACATACCATTAATTATTATCGAAAATAAAAATAAAAATTCAAAAATATCTTTTGACTATTTTACCCTTTCAATTCTAATTTAGGTGGAGGTGATTAATTTTTTTTTTAAATATAAATAACTCATATTTATTTTCAACCAATGATCAGTAAAATCAATAATGGAAATGAGTTTGCAAAGTTTGTATTAATGAAGTGATTTGTAAATTAAACACCTCTTTCTCTATGTGTACATATACTATATTATAAAGCATTTGACAACAACTTTTAAAAACTATTTTTATGCATAAAATATTGTGTATTAATGCATATTACTTAAAATTCAAGATTACAAGTAGATTGTGCTTAAGTATAACTTATTAAAGCTCTATCGTTGAATTCGTGTAACTAACTGCAGATAAACATAATCAAATATAAGATAAACATCTCATTTTAAATATAAAAAAATCTAAAATATAATAGGATAATCATTGAGCTCTAACAAAATACTTAATTATTATTTTTATACAAAAATATATTATTAAATGTAACTTAAATTACTATTGATTAAATTATAATAAAAAAATTGTATTAAATCAAATTACACAAAAATAAGAACTTTTAAATAGTTAATTTAATACTAATATCTATATACTTTTTCCAAATTTTTATGATATTTTAAAATTTATATTTTATTCAAAAAGAAAAACATTATCGCTTTCTCAAAACCACATAAAACCGTATTATATCGACATAAATAAATAATAAAATGAAACATTGAAATTAAGATATGTCTCAATGCATTGCACGAGCACCCTTCTAGTGTAAGATATATACACATAATTATGTTAAGTTAAATATTTAATATTTTTATAATCTTATATATATATGTGTGTCTTACATTAATGTGTAATTTAACTACTTTTCATATTTATCGAATAAAAGAGTTCCCGATAATTAAATAAGAAACAAAACGATGTCGGAAAAATAAATACATCAGAAATTGTTGTTTTACCATTTTTATATTGTTTTTAAAACATTATATTACGATTATATTTTGAGTACTATTAAAATGTTTACTATAACAAATTAGATACAAAATATTTATTATATTTATGAGTTTAAGTTTTATATACATGTCTGAAGTTTAACAATTTTATTTACAGTTCAAAATTAAATTTTGTTTTACCATTTATCCATTATCCGTTTCGTTATCTGCTATTTTAATAGATAATGTAAAATATAGATAATAAGTTTATAAGATAAATAATCACCAGTTTCGTTACCCACTATTTTAAATAGATTGATAATTTTATACCAAATCAAACCAACCAACATATGTACCAACCATACAAATTAAATTTGGTCAGTAGTACCATACCACATACGCAAACTTGGTCGGTACACGGTTTTAGAAGTCATATCATTTTGTAGTATTGAATATTAAACATTGTATTTTTACTAATTTGTCTGAACATTTCATCATTTTGAAGTTTTATTTTTTGCAACTAATTTTTTTTATTAACCTGGATATCTAATCCGCTATGCAAGCCGACTAAACCTAAAGCGACCACCTGCTTTTGCAAATAACCCGGAGTCACTGCATTTGAACTTCCGTGACCACAAGGAGAATTTTATTTCTTCTTAGAAAACTAATTTTTTTAAATGTCACATGTATTATATTACCCGCAAACTCAAATTTTGTACAAAATGACAATGTTCATATATGTACTGAAGTTGGTACAAGACTAATATCAACATGTATCAACCTAAAAAAACTGATACTTGATATAAATTTATCATATCAATTATAATTGATCAGTACATGACATTTATTAATTTTTATTTACCATAATAAATCCATTTCTAGATTTTTTTTAACCATATACTTCAAACCGTTCAACCCAACTCATATAAACCCATAGTTTACGAACTTTCTATATTATATTATAAAACATTTGATAAAAACTCTTTAAAATCATTTTCTTATGCATGGAATATTGTTTATTTATGCATATTACTTAAAATTTAAGATTACAAGTAAATCGTGCGTAAATACAATTTATTAAAACTTCATGTTTCAATTCGTGTAACTAATTGTAGATAAGCATAATCAAATAGATGATAATCATTTCATTTTAAATATAAAAAATCTAAAATATAATTAAGATAATCATTGAGTTCTAACAAAATACTTAATTATTTATAAAAATTATATTATTAAACCAAAAATAATAAAAAATTAATTAAAGAAATACACAAAAAATGAGAAATTTTAAATAGTTAGTTTGACATATCAATATCTTTTTTCAAAATTTTATAATATTTAGATTTATTCAAAAATAAAAACGTTATCGTTTTCTCAAAATCACATAAAACTGTATTATAACATTAACTGAGACGAAAAAAACAAAACATCAAAATCAAGATGTATCATGCTGCATCATGCGAATACCCTTCTAGTATACTTTTACATTTTTGTTATATATATATATATATATATATATATGTGTGTGTGTGTGTGTGTATGTGTGTGTGTGTGTCTTCGCATTAATATTAGAATTGTATCTTAGTTATTTAAATATTTTTAAAAATGTCAATTTAAAAGTGATTTTTTATGAACATAATATAAATACAAGTTTCAATTAAATTTAAATTATTTTCAGTAATTGGAATATTATATTCAAAAGCATGCTAGAAATATAGTGACTTCAAAAATGTAATGATTTTTACAATAAGTAGTATTTCAAATCTTTCAGACCTTGGGCAGATAATATTTTTAAATAGATGTTATATATCTTTTTTCCATAACATTTTAATCTATAAATTAATATACACACATACATACATACAAATATATATATATATATATATACATACACACACATACACACACACACACACANTGAATTAAAGAAACACGCAAAAAATGAAAAATTTAAAATAGTTAGTTTGATATTAATATCATTATTTTTTTAAATTTTTTATAACATTTAGATTAATTCAAAAATAAAAATATTATCGTTTTTTTAAAAGCATATAAAATTGTATTATAACATCAGTTAAGATAAAAAAACGAAACATTAAAATCAAGATATATCTCGTTGGAGTTTGCTTGTAATCATAAATCATAATAAATGTGTGAATATAAAAATATAAAAAATAATTAACAAATTTGATTTGTTGGGGACAAGTTTTTCAAAGACATAAACCTGTAAATAGAAAACTCTGCCAAACTCGGTGGGTGTTTTCCCACCTCAGTCAACTCACAAAAGCTCTTTTTTGACTTTTTTCCGGCACAAATCTCTATCTGACCGCCGGAGTAGATGCAAACCCACCCAACAGAATTGGGGGAATGGAAGAACAATGCAATTCATGAACGAAATCCAAACTTGTTGAACTGAATCTGGTAAAACGATTATGTTTCGCAGCACCAGTGGCGGTGGCGGTGGCGGTGGCGGTAGGGATAACAACGAATCCCTAGCTGGATTGACCCAGATGATGATGATGAATGTTCCTCCTCGGCAACCGGCGATGGTGGTCGGTGGCGGTGCAGATGCGGAGGATTTTTTGAGGAGGGACGATCGGGTACCGTCATGGAGCCAGCAGGAGACGAGGGATTTCATTGCGATTCGTGGTGAGCTGGAAAGGGATTTCACGACGGCGAAGCGTAACAAAAGTCTGTGGGAGGTGGTGGCTGCGAAGATGAAGGAGATAGGGTATAGAAGGACTCCTGATCAGTGTAAATGCAAATGGAAAAACCTCGTTAATCGGTATAAGGTACCAGATTTCTTCATTTTTCTTGAATTATTTGTTTAATTTTAGCAATAAATCTTTGAAATTACTTGTTGGAAGTGATGTAAAGAGCCCTAACTAGATTAACCTCCAAAATGGTTGAATTTGGCTCTGAAACCATGTAAAAGTACATGAACCCCTTTGGATTACTCTCCAAAAAAGTGATTTGAGTATAGAATAGAGGTTCCAACAGCAGAAATTGTCCAAGTCTAGCTGATGATGCCCTCTGTTGGAGGCTAAATGGACACAAATTGTCTGGAACATTGAGTCCCTAAAGTGGTAGACGTATGCTCTGATACCATGTAAGAATATGTAGAACCCATTAGATATTTCTTCAAAAAAGCCATTAGGAGAGAATGAAGGTTTCTAACATATAATAAGAAGAAACGATAAAGTCTAGCCGATGTGGGATTCCAACAACTATGTCTCCCAAATAATCTGAATCATATTTCTTTTTTGCCGAACTATCAAAACCGATTACTGCAACTTGATTTAGATGCATATCTAAACACCCCCTTAATCTTAGCTGGCTTATTTCGGTCAGCTCCGATTTCAGAATTTATGATGGAATGCTTCGTAGCAACAAGAGGGAGGTTGAAGAAATATCCTGAAAGTAATCAAGTGTGAGAGTTGTAAATATTCGTACGGGTCTATAGTTTTTTACTGGATGTTTGCATAGGTGGTGAGGTCTAAGTACGTGCTCTTTCCATGGTGATCGAACTTTTTTGGGGTTTATTTTGAAGAATACCCTTCTGACAGTTTGAGAGGCAATTCCGTGTTAGGAAGAGGCATTCTTTTGTTAGTAACGTGTGTTGTTAAATCTGTCAGAAAGTCATGCATTTAAAAAAACATCCGTTAGAAGATTATTCTCCACATGGATGGATCCTAGAAAATGTAAGTAGCATATCATATTCTAAATCAGAGCTTTTTCGTGCCCAAACATGCCAGAATTAGCCTTAGCAAATAGAATTTATTTTCATGAACCTCATTTGTGAAATCAGAAGCCACGACAAACTAGTCATCTCTGTGAAGTTGGTGCTTAATCTAGACTAAGGGGTAAAACAGTCATTTTTGTCATTCAGACCGGTTATTCAGCACAACAAACAAACAACAATTTAACTTGAAGTTATCTATACGTATATGAATCCATCTGTTTGTTAGGACATGTGGAACCCCTTTGAATTCTCTCTAAAAAGTTCTTGATAAAGATATGGGAGGTTCCTACATATATATTGGCTTAATGGTCCGTGCCTAGCTGATGCGGACTCCAACACGGCCTCTCAAACGAAGACTAGACGGTATCACCATAGAACGGAAGCGAAAAAGTGTAATCTCTAGATGCGGTAGACCCTGCCCAGATACCATATTAGGATACGTGGAACCCATTGGAATTCTCTCTAAAAGATCCCTTACAAAGAGAAGGAAGATTCCTACATATATACAGGTTTGATGGTCCGTGTCTACGTGATACGAGACTCCAACAAAAAGTTGTGTGTCGTTGAGTAAATTCACAACGCTATTTGAACCTTGTGAAGCTTTTCGCTTTTGTGAATTATTGAATGATAAATAGCGGTCAATAAGTAGCTCAGATATTAATTAATAGGATTTGATGACGATCATGTGGAGTTTGGTTGTAATGATATAATCCCTCTGTTCTAAAATAAGTGTCCACAATAGAAATGACACATAGATTTAGTCGTGCATTATTATTACACTTTTTAGTTAACCAAATGACAACTTCAGCCTTAATTAATTTATCTCTCTTCACAACTCTTAAATATTTGTGCATTAATTAAGGGCAAATTTGAGAATTTAATTATCTATTTTTGAAACTAAGGGGCCGTTTACCAAACGCTTACTCAGGTAGGCACTTACCAAGTCACATTACCTCATCGGATGAATATGATAAGGACCAAGAATCTTACCCGGTAAGAGCGAGACAAGGACCATGAGTCTTATCCGGTAAGTGACAACTCTTACCACGGTAAGCGCTTACCGGGAAAATTGTTGCATACGATGTCGTTTTGATAGACTAAAATCTTATTCGTTATGTAAATAATAGTGTTAAATTTTACCGGTAGTCACTTAACGGGTAAGTGTTTGGTAAACGGCCCCTAAAACACTTATTTTGGGACAAACATAAATAGAAATGTGAACGCTTATTTCGGGACAACAAGAATACAATAAAAATATACAAAATTGTTGCAATTTTTATGGGACATAGGCGCGTTTACTTTCTATCTGTTGAACCTCTCGGCGCCTTCCGTCATCATTTGCTTAATTGATGCTATTGTTAACGGGTTATTCAAGTAAATAACTTTCGTACAGATTTTCTTCTAAATGCATAACCTTCTAACAGATTTAAGAACGTATTTACCTAACATAAGAATGCCTCAGAATCTGTTAGAAAGTCGTGCATTTAAGAAAAAATACGTCAGAAGGTTATTCTTCTAAATAACCCTGTTCATCTCACATCATGTCAATGATGTAGATGCTAATGGTCTTCCTTATTATGGCTAAATATATCTTGAAAATCTCTTTTGTGGTCTGAGTTTCAAATCTTCAATTAGGGAAAAGAGACGTTGGATCGAGAGAACTCCCGTTCGTTCCCATTCTTTGACGAAATGCATGCCCTATTCACCGAAAGAACAAGCAACACACCACCAACACCCTTTGATCCCGAAGCTACTTCTAGCCACTCAAAGAAGAGAGGCATAAAAATGGATTCATATCAATCGCTCGAAGAATTATCCGAAGACGAAGATGAATACGAGGATGAAGAAATCAAGATCGCAAAAGCCACGGTTCCTCCAAGAAAGAAACCCGAAAGGGAAAAACGGGCACGGACCTCAAGTTTAGACAAGCCTCCAACTCCAAAACAGCCGAGTTCAGGAAATAATTCAATTCGAGAGATTCTCCATGATTTCTTCCAACAACAGGAGATGATCGAGACGCAGTGGAGACAGTTGATGGAGAAACACGATTACGAAAGACGGGTGTTTGACCAAGAATGGCGGCAGTCAATGGAACGGCTCGAAATGGAGCGGATGAGGATCGAGCAGTCGTGGAGGGAGAAAGAAGAACAGAGACGGATGAGAGAAGAGTCCCGGGCTGAGAGAAGAGACGCCCTCTTGACCGCACTCCTCAATAAACTCGTTCACGAGCAATGATCTTTAAAGGTATCGTTCTTGTTTATAGCAATATATGGTACATAAACTAGCTTCAAGATCAGATTTTTTCAGAAACTCGGTGTTTTATGTGCATACCACCCTAGAACCAACTGTGCTGTATCCTGTGGGCTATCTAGCCGATGCTTACATGAGATAAACGCGTATCTATACTAACTATATTTGTTTGGTTTTATTAACCCGACCCATGAACTATACTACGATATGTTGTAAAGTACACAGACCGGGGTTATTCAGGAGAATAACCTGCATGACCTTCTGATAAATTTAAGAACGCCTAACAAAATAATGTTTGTTCTCTAACACAAGAATACCATATTAATATGTCAGAAGGTTATGCATTTAAAAAAATAATCCGTCAGAACGATTATTCTCCTAAATAACTTGAGCTAGTTAGTTGCTGATCTTGGATATGGAGAAAAAGGTTTCGAGTAGCATATGGGGTTTTAATTGCAAAAGAGATGCTCGTAGAGGTAAGGTCTGTATAAATCTTAACTTCTCCTGATCATAATTACAGTGTGAGATTTACTGGGTCGGTTTGGTTTGGTTGCAAGATTTGATGTATCCTTTCCTCTTTTATCTTGGCAGACGATTGTTATGTTCAAATACGTAGGCAGAGTTGAATGAACCGAAATTTGTTCTTGAAGGACCCTTTTTTCTTGTTTCCGTTACTAGTTTTGATGAACATGAAATTCCGTTATGGGTGTGGATAAGTTGGTTCGAACCACAAAACCAACGAACCAGACTAGATCGAGTGAGAACCAATTACAGATGGTCCAGTTATTGGTTCCTAAACTTTGAAACCGAACGAGTTCTTTTTTTTTTTTTTTTTATGTGATCTACATAAATTATCGGACTACTTACAATGCTGTGATTGGGCAAGAAAAAGCCTCGGCTAGCCTCGGGATGCGAAGATGACCCCGATCGAGCTCTTTCAATATGGGTTTCGGACTTTTTTGTTCGATCTCTACTTGTAACTTTACTTTTGTAAAGTTAGTAAACCAGCATTGAAATGGAAGTGTTTTCTGATCAAAATGTTCCGTATTTTGTTTCAATTATTTCGGAGAACCAACTTTCAAAGCGTAATATATCGTTGAATACAAAAAAGGACAATTATACCCTTTTCTAAAACAAATAAAGCTTCTATTAATGAAATTTCAAAGAGCATATGCCAATTAAAGAGCGAGTCAAAAAACTCGGCATATCAAAATACGAGACGAGACAAGAAGAGAAACGAGAAGGGTGTATTAATGCATGAGCGTCTCGTTAGCTTGTCGCGTAGTGAAACAGACATAGGAGGAGTCACGTTGTAGAAGTATCATGCGAGTCCTTGAGATAATATCACCAAATTTTGACTCATCACGTTCAAGGGAGTTGACAGTTGTAACAACTTGTGTGGCATCCCGTTCCAAAACAAATATCTGATATCCCAGATCAATTGCCGATGATAAAGCTTCCAGTAGAGCAAGGGCCTCATATTTTTTAACCAACGAGATACCAACTAGCGTGGATGTTCATGTTCGGCTACCACAAAGGACCCATTGGTGTCCCGAAGAATTGCAGCTAAATGTCTCTAAATATTATCAAATCAATGTCAATAATGTAGATTAAATCGGTTACAAAATCTACTGTTAATCTTATCTCAGTTATCTGCAACTAATTTGGTAACTGCATAAAAATTTCAAAATACACAAAATCAAGATTGGTTTGAACAATATATAACATTTACATGGTTTTTATTTGAGATCTTATACACACACACACACACATATATATATATATATATATTATACATATATATCTATATTATACATATATACATACATATATAGAAGAGGGATCAAATAAAAACCACCCTCATCTGTGAAAACCTTACAAACCAATCTCATTCATCCATTTTCTTGATCAATAGTCAATATTAGATTAGTTTATATTAGAAAATAAAAATAAATAAATAAATAAAAGTTTATTTTTTAATTGAAACAAGGGCAAAAATGTAAAACATATGATTCTATAATCGAGGCAACAAGATCATGTATATCCTAATATTAATGAAACAAAATCGTTGTTTTAAAAACTATATATATCATCTTATACTTTCAAAAAATCTAACAAAAAATGTTCGAATAATCTTGAAAATTATAGGTTTGCTAAAAATATCTTCATTTTATGTTCAAATATTATAAACAAAATAACATCATCATAAAAATATGTTAAAATAAGGACCCGATGAAATTAGGTATATCGTAATAAACTTTGAAACATAAAACACACTGTAATCAAGTTAACATAATGAAATCTTTTGAATAATAGAACAATTTTTTTTTACCATTACATTTCATGAATGAAATGGTTTCACCGTTTCATCATTACACAAATCAACCTATTGTTAGAGTAAACATATGTTATTTTCATGTTTTCAATACATGGATCCGTTTCAATCTTATTATGAAATGGTTTCACTGTTTGCTTCCATACACACAAATTTTTTAACATTAACATATCAACCATTACAATAACCATTATATGAATCTGTTTCACAACTATAACACTTTACACATTATATGAACCATTATATGAAACAACAGGTATTGTCATGCATTTTTATGTTTTCACTCTTTGCTTCCATTAATCATTTTTATAGTCAAACTATTTAATATTGTTTACGTTACAAAACTTATAGGAAACAAGGTTATCAAAAAAAAATATATTATATTATGCAACAATTTCATCCATAAAATTTTCGAAATCTGAACAAGTTTTATTAAATTAGTGCCATTTTTTCAAATAGAAAATATTTTGTATCCTAATAAATTATGCAACAATTTCATCCATAAAAGTTTTGATATCTGAACACGTTTCATTAAGTTACTGCATCCACTATACCATACAAATTCATAACCATTAAGGTAACAAGATCATCTAAAAAAATAAAATAAATAATTGAAACAATTTCATCAACAATTGTTGATAAGATCAAACAACAACTGATTTCAAAATTCATGTTTTTATTCAGTATAATCGTGAAAATAAATAAAACGTATTTATTGTGAAAAAACTAAATTAAGAAAAAGATTTAACTCCTACCATATTAAACATTTTATTTCTTATATTTCTAAAATTAACAATACTTATTACCTTTCAGTATTAATCAAAAAACAATGGAAATGACTATCAAACCCTTACTGATTAAAATTAATTAAAAAAATCGAAATTTTCTTATTGGTCGAAATTGGTTTGCATGGTTTTTAAGAATTGAGCGGTTTTCAATGTACTCGGTTAAGTGAACATCAAGTCACATTACCTTATCGGGTGAACATGGTAATGACCAAGAATCTTACCCGGTAAGAACGAGACAAAGACCAAAAGTCTTACCGATAAGTGAGAAAGACGATTCTTAACACGGTAAACACTTACCGGGTAAATTATTACATACGATACCGTTTTGGTTGACTAAATCTTACCCGGTAAGTAAATGATAGTGTTAAATTTTATCGATAAGCCCTTACCAGATAAGCATTTGGTAAACAGCTAATTAGTTTGAGCTTATAAGTTATTAGTAAAATGGAAAACCTGAAGGAGCAGATCCACCGGGTCAGCCTGACCCGGGAAATCGGATATTTGTTACGTCTACGGGTTAACTGAAATCAGAGGGTATACGAGCTGCAGCGAAATCGTAGCGGGAGGGTCCGAAATGGCAGCAAGTAGTAGTACAGAGGATCTTTTACAGGAGCTTCTCAATGTCGAGTTGGAGCTTCAAGATGTTCAAGGTTTTCTCCTTTCGTCTCTCTTTTCTGTGTGTATTTTGACGCATATGAGAAATATATATATATATGCACACACACACATTGTGTGTGTATATTTGCGATTTCTTAATGCGTTTTACGACAGGATAGGGTTCTGTTTGATTTTTGAGTGTAATTAGTTGTATTATTTATCATGAAAATGAACAAAAGGTGTTATTTTGGGTAGAATATTTGTTAGTTTGGGTTAACTTATATAGAAAGTATCAGTGGTAGATAAAGAATGATTTGAAAGTATGATAAAATATTTAAAATCAATTTGAAAACTGTTAGGTTATATGCATATGTGTATAAACTTGATTCAAAACTTCACAACTGCACACTGCTTGCTCTAGTTGATGAGGTTTCCAAGTCCAGAATAGGGATACCATGAAATTTCAGGAACTTACTTAGCTTTCTTTTGTTATCGTTTGAGATCTCATCTAGAATACGGATTATGGTTCTTTTTTTTCTTTAAATACCGGATGTTTCCCTTCAATAAAATGACGATTGAGCATTCATTGTAATTGCTTCAAGTTCAATTATTCACATTTGGTATAAGAGCAAGCATCAATGTTTTTTTTTTGAGAATAGAGAACTCCTCTGCAATGGCAAACTCAAACACAAAGAAGTTTGTCCAACCAACTATTTCTACATTTGATGGCTACTATGTAACATCCTGTTTCCGGGGGTATCGTCCTTTACCCTTAGTACCAGTGAATGAAAGAAACTTCATATCTTAAACTTTTATTTCATTATAATAGAGTTATTATAACAGCGGAAATGCGGAAATTTACAACTTATAATATTCTAACATCTTAAAATAGCAACACTTCAGTTTGTTCCTACTCCTTGATTCCTGAGATACATACATGAATACGTAAGCTAAAAGCTTAGTGGGTAGTTATGGTTTCATGATAAAACATTCTTTCCAAATAGTTAAAATAATTCTTATAAACTTTCATGTATAAAAACATTTCTTTGAGATCTCATGGTTACATGTTAAGTAAACCAACTTCTCACAGGTTCTTTAACCTCTGGTCCACATAAGGGCTGCCCAATAAGGTCCTTTTGCAAGACGTACCTTCTTTCTGTATCCTGTACGTTGGATATTTAAATGGTTATACTTAACATGTCAAAAAACTTTCATATACCACATATGCATCATGACATAAAAGGTGTACTTTGCCACATAATCATAACATAACTTTTACAAGAAGATATGACAATACTCTTTCATGCATAAAACATTTATATATATAGCATGATGTATCCCAGTAAATCTCATAACGTACTCACCTTGATTATGCCTAGATTTTCCCTTAATTCCTATCTTCAAGCTTGATTAGGTATAAGGAGAGAGATTTCTTATTTTTGGTGTGGAACTAATAGTAACACTTCAATCACTATTTATAGGTAAATTCATTGCTTTAGCTACTTCTTGTTCTTCTTGCTCCCAAGATTGTACTCTTATGATAGTTTAACACCTCATTTTTGAGGATAAGAGAATCTTGACACCTCATGCTTAATATAAAGGAAATCTTGAGACCTCATGCTTCTAGCTTTCATTTGTCATGCTTCTAGCTCTTGCTTGTCATCATGATTTTTGCCAACACATGCTTCTAGCCTTGACAACTCATAACTAGCTTGCTTTGTCATAAGATTTTTGTGGCTCATGTTGTTTGTTTATAAGTAGCTTTGTAAGCTACTTTCCTTATAAATATGATAGTTGATAAATGCTACAGCTGTTGGACTCTTTTAAGAGGACTTAATTTACTTACAAAATCTTTTATTTAACGCTTAAACATTGAGATTTAGCAAATAAAGAAACTTGGGTGTTACAACTACGACCATTGGTCTTTGTTGATGGAAAATTTTCTTCGTAGCAAGGAAATGTGGAATTTAGTAGAAGAGGGGATCACAACTGTTACAGGCACTGCTACTGTAGGAGACCTGGAAAAGTCTGTTGAGTGTAGTCTGGCCATGACCTCTATAACTGCCTCTTCCTCTATTGCTACTTTCACTGCCCACTTTGAGTAAGTACCTACTCTTCTTCTCTTTGACTAAGCAAATGTTGCTCATGAACCGGAAGACTTCCATGTAATTCATCAATCATCAACCGTCATGGGGTCCAAGTCATTAGATTCCATTATCGAACATACAACGTAATTGAATTTGGGAGTGGATCTAAGTACCTTGGATACCACTTTGTCATGTATCACATTATCTCCATTAGCCTTCATCTTGTTAACCAAAACCCTAGCTATGCATGTTCCTGCCCGCTCTCCTTCCTTCATGTACAACAATTCATACTTCTTCCTTAATGCTTGTAACAGGGACCTTGACTTTAGTAGATTCTTAGTACTTGTCTTTCATTGAATCCCATATTCCTTTTGAAGTACCTTTAACAAGAATGGTGTCCAAAATTTCCCGATCAATCGCTTGGAACAGGTAGTTCTTCACCCTCATGTCCTTCAGCTTAGCATGATCCAAGGACTTTTTCTGGTCTCGTGCAGTAGCAGGGACTGCAATAGCTGTGATCCCCTCTTCTACAAAATTCCACGTTTCTTTGATACGAAGGAAATTTTCCATCAATAAAGACCAATGGTTTAGGAATAGCTGGTTGGACAAACTTCTCTATGTTTGTGTTTGCCATTGCATAGGCGTTCCCTATTCTAAAAAAACACACTGATGTTTGTTCTGATACCAAATGTGAAGAATTGAACTTGAAGCAATTACAATGAATGCTCAATCATCATCTTGTTGAAGGGAAACTTACAGTATTTAAAGGGAAAGAAAGAACCATAATCCCTATCATAGAGGAGATTTCAACCGATAACAAGAGACTCGATCAAAGCTCAGGGATTTTATTGACCGACTCAAATGAAGTTGACTTGGCCCTTAAAGACGTTTTTCAACACAGATTTCTGAAATCTACTATTTTTATAAGTTTGACACTGCTGCAATGATTGTTTGAGTGAGTATGGAAATCATGTTGTTATAGTTTTTAGACTGGAAAATGACTAATGGGTGAGTGTTGCCGTGATATTGATAATGGTGATGAAAATTTAGATTAAATACAAAGCTGAGGTCTTCTCTGATGTTTGATTGGGCTAAACAGGAAAAGGGGATTTGGGTTTTGGAACTATGGAGTATATGCATAACTAAGAATGTTCTTGCTGAAAAGAAAATCATCATGGGCATACCGAAATGGTAAGAGTACACTCATTCTGGTTATTGAAAATTTCATTTATAGGAGAAATGAAAATGTGATAAGTAGGGGTGCACAAAAAACCGTCAACCCGCAAAACCCGCCCAACCCAACCCGCTAACAACCCAATTAAACCCAACCTGCCAAACCGCCGCTAATATATAATTTTTATAAAATTATATATATATATATGTTTATTATGTATATATATATATATATATATATATTAATAATGTATAATTTTTATTGATATTATGTTTGTATTTCATTTTAGCTAAACGTATAGGTTACCAAAAGAGATTCACGATCAAAGAATGATGACAAATAATCTAATTAATAAGAGAAAATTATTGAAATCCTTTTTGCAGCAATAACAAATTCATATGTCGGAGAATATGAATGATACTAATAGATATTTTGTTGACGAATCCATCAATCTAAATACCCCGTCATTTGATGTTGTACTTTAGTGGAAATAAAATGTTTAGTTATAGCATTTCGCTACAACAACATTAGATCTTATAGGATGTCTAAAATGTCTAAACGTCCTAATATGATTCTTTATAGGACGAAACAAGAAAAATGTCTTATCTAAAAGAGTTACAATATGTTTATAGGATGATTTTGGACGTCCTAACAAATTCTATGACGCTTTTAAAATAAAGTATCATATTAGTTATTTTATACGACACGACATGAAAAGTGTATATGAACATAGGTGTCCTATAAATAGATGAGTTTCAGGGACACTTCTCAAAATATTTATATAAAATAACTAATACGACATTTTATTTAAAGATCATTCAAAAACACTTGTTGAAGCTTCCAAAGACGTCATGTAAACCTATTGTAACCTTTTTAGATAGGACGCTATATAGTATGGTCTATAAACTTAAGTTTTATGAATTATTTCATTCGTCAAATTTATGTAACTACTAACCCGCCAACCCAACCCAACCCGCCTCAACCCGCAAGGGTTGGGTTGGGTTATACTTTTGAATGGGTTGGGGTGGGTTGAGATTTTTCCAAACCGCCATAATTGGGTTGGGTTGTAAAAATGTTGTAAACCGCCCAACCCAACCCGCATGCACCCGTAGTGATATGGGGTCTTATTTACTTGATCTGAGGAGAAACGAGGTTCGGAGCACATAATAGAGAATTGAGAATGTAGGAAAATGGCATAAATAAGAAGAAGCAAATGGTAGCTCAAAGTTAAGGAAAAATATTTATATGAACACTGAGCAAGCATGACAGATTGGTTATAAGGGTTTACATTGTTTTGTTCAATGAAAAACAAGTTGTCAATGGTAGGACTTGAGAATAGTACATGCAACTACTTTGGTTGCTACCTTCTTGAAGTGTCGATGGGGTATAAAAACACCAACACGGTTGTAGCAGATCACTTTCTGATTTTTTCAGTAGCAAGGCCAACCCTGACTGCTTTGCTTCAATGGGTTTCTCTTTCCCCTAGAACGAAAGTGTTGTTTTTATCTAATAGAAGTGTTGTGGTCCTCCACAAGCTTTAACAGTACAAACTGTGAAAAGCAGTTGTGTTTTACATTGAGTAAGATAAATTATTTCTGTCCACATAGTATTAATGCCTATCTTTTCCGTTGTGCCCTGCTTATTGTAAAAAAGGAATTTGTCAAGGATGCCTGTTTCTTTTATGGTTATTGCATTAAAATCAAATCTCTTACTGGACTGCATGCTATCAAGGTCTTCAACTTTGACAGTTTTACTCCATGTGAAACTTCACACCTCTCTCATGTTACGCCAGTTTGTTCGAGAGTATCTCCAAATGTTGTTTGGATGAGAGAACAGTTATCCTATTGGGTCTAGTAACTCCTTTTTTCCCAGCCTTCTTTTTTGGGAGGAATTTCTCTGATAATGTCCTTATGGTGCTTGTTAGAAATTATCATAAAGCTCATGTATTCCTAAATCTTTTCTATGCTTGTCACACAAAATCCTATCATTTGGCGAGATAGAAATTCCTTACCTTTCGTAGATATTCAAATTTCCCTTAATCCATATTTCAGATTAGATTTCGTTTCTAGTTGAAATTCCTCTAATATCGTTTTGAAGTGCAACCTTTTTGTGCTCAAATCTCAGCTTCTGGTACAAAAAAACTATAAAAGAGGTCCAGCTTATCATGGCTATTTTATTATGAAAAGGTCCTTATGAGTCAAGGTGGTAATGGAGTGGGTTGGGATAAGGAGACCCTACCTTTTTAGAGGGTCGCATGGATATTAAGCATCTTGCAGGATGGAATAAAACTCACATGCTATCCATCTTTAGAAGATTGTCAAACTAAATTTGGAAGTTCTGCTGGGCTGGGTGGGTTATGGACCCTCACACTCACAAGATGAAACTTCCCCGTGTGATAAAAAAATCACTGGGATTGTTCTTCAGTCTCAAGAAAGAGGTGTTTATCTTGAGACCTCTTGCATGAAACATATTTTCCACAAACTTGAAACCACTATTTTTGTTGGTCTCTAACTTATTCCCTGGTGTAATTGCTAGCCTCTCCTTGACGTTAGACATCGTAACTCTTTTGAGGCTCAGACATAATGCGTCTACTAGGTCCATTTTTCTCAATCGTTCTGAAACTCTTCTGGTCTCCTCATCCTGACTATTCAAATTTGTAATGCTTTCCCTTTCGGCGTGTCCTATGTTCAAGGTTCCAAATAGCATGAGGCGTGGCGGCAAGGCCAAGCCTCAAGCCTTGGAAGCCACGTCGAGGTCACGGTGTTTTTCAAGGCGTGATTTATGGCTGCAAATCTCTATATCATATATAATATTATATACATAAACATATGTTTTCTACTATTACTCAATGAATCAATGATAATAAACAATGTAGAATAAGTTACATATTAAAACCACAAGGGTGGTGCCTGATTGGTTTGAGCTTGGCTCCAAATGTCAAAAGTACCAGGAGGTCCTAGGTTCAAATCCAAGGAGGAAAAAAATCCCCTTGTGGCCATGGAGGTTCAAATGCGGTGACTCTGGGCTATCTGCAAAGCAGGTGGTCGCCCTGGGATTAGTCGGCTCGCATAGCGGGTTGGATATCCAGGTTAATAAAAAAAAATAAGACATTAAAAAGATATGTAAAATCAAATATTGTGTTACAAAAACCGCACATTACGCCATGGAGTGCATAAGGCATAACGTGGCGTGGGACACAAGCCTTGAGCCACCGATCGCCATGGCGAGCTTTTTCAAACAGTGCCTATGCTAATGACTCTGAGGATGCTGTCTTGTCGGTTATTTTTGGGGGGAAAAGTAAAAACCAAGTAAATTTTAATTACAATCAGATGGCATAATCCAACATAATCTTTGGCTCGTAGCTTTTCGTTCGAAGGAATGTTCCTTATTATGATTTTCATCCAATGGTTAGTTTGTCATAAGCGAATTTTTATCAAGGTATTTCTACTTTCCATTGATCTGCTTCTTTACACTGCTTGTCTCCTACATACCCAAGAAGAAAAATCTATTAGGCATCGGTTTTCTTTTAATCTTCTACTCATAAGAGATTAATTTTCATTTGAATAGTATATTAATGTAATTTATACTTTATTTTCCAGATGAAATAAAGAGCTTGCTTGATAAGCAAGAGAAGCTGTATGAGAAACAGTCAGAACTTAAAGCAGTGTTGGAAAGTTATCAAGGATTGGAAAAACCTGATAATGATGGTGCAGCTCCTCAAGCAGAGAACTGGTCAGGGTCTTTTGAATGGGATGATGAAGCTGATGATATTAGATTTAATATATTTGGCATACCTGGTTATCGTGCAAACCAGCAGGAGGTTGGTGCTTGCTTTGGCGATACATACTGTTGTGCAAAGCAAATGAGACATAAAACATATTCCTGATTTTACTTGAAGAGTTCTTTATGTACATACTGTTGTGCAACAAATGAGACACATTCCTAGCTCGCATGAGTAGTTTTTAGTGCATCTTCGGTGTTCCTTTCTTTCTTCTTTCTGTTCTGTGTTGCAATCTTTTTGTACTTACATTGTCCCTTTCTAAATTACAAAAATGGCAAGTAGCAATGCTTAGTAAACCTTTTGTTTATAGCTTCAGAAGTGGTATTCTTTTTGCTCCCTTTTTAGCCTCCCTATGGTATTTCTTTTATAAGCCTTGTTAGTTGAAAGCTGTAGAAGGAAACTTGATCACAAAGAACAAAGTTTTAGTTGCTCATCGTCCCTATTTGTCTTTTCTTGCTGATGCCAAGTTTCAGTGTTTCACAGTGGATTTCCTCCCATTGAATTTCCATCATCTCATAATATTTAACTTACGGATATGGTTAAGCCTGTTCCTTAGTTGCAACTATTTTCCCACATAATTGACATGTTTGGTCTGTGCATCCTCATTCTTTTGTGGAGTCTTTTCTGTCTACAGTGTCACTTTTCATATCATCGTTTTTTTACTTTGAATATTTTTTAGAAAGCCAAGATTCCTCCCACTTATTGGATCTTCATATGGTGTTAGTTTCACTAGGATGTCCTCTTTGTCTATGTTGAAGAGTCTGATGGAGCCATTAATTATGTAGTTCACTTCTACTAGGTAAGCAATAGTGGTCCAGTTAGTGATGCTCACTTTTCCTACTTAGTTTTATTTAGCTGATCACTGCCCTATCAGGCTATCATTCTTGAGTGAGCTGGAGCGGTCCATCTTATCCACTGAACTAGCTAGAAGCAAACACTTCTGGTCTCTACGAGGGAAATCCTCACATCGAGTCTTTACGAGTTCATCCGGAACAAAGCGAAACCCTTCCGGTTGGGAAGATGCAGATAAAACACCAATAACCAAATGTCCCCTTATCATCATCATGTTGTATCCCTTTTCATGTTTAGACAGCGTTGAGACTTGTTACCTTACTTTTATAAGATTTGTGTCTCGTTGGTCTATCCCTTGTTGGGAATTTGTACAAGTATTATTTAGTTCCCTGGTTTTCAACACTCATAAAGAATTGTACCCGGCAAATAGTTGGATTGATAGCATAGACATATCTGCATTATGGCAAATTTATGCACGCATTCTTTGTAGCCATGACAACATAATTGACCCTTCTTGTGCTCCAGAAGTTTATTTTATTGTATTCTTAATCTACGATGGTATTTTATTTTACTTTGTAAGCAATTGCAATATACCTGCCTTATCACTTCCTACTCTTTCTAGGTTTAACAATTTGGCAGTTTGTGGGAATCAGTGTCCACATTATTCATTGGCTTAAAAGATTGTTTCTATTATGTTTCCCTTTGTGGATGTTCATGCTATACTCTATTCAGGGAAAATGTTCTAGATTCTTTCACTAGATGTGAATTTTATCATCAAATGTCTTTAATTGGCTAATCAACAGTTGCTTATCAGATCATTAATGCTATCATGAGCAGAAGAGATGTGCTTGTTATCATGGCTGCTGGTGGAGGCAAGAGCCTCTGCTACCAACTTCCAGCTGTTATACGTCATGGAATTGCTCTTGTTGTCAGTCCTTTGCTTTCTCTTATTCAGGATCAGGTATTTTTTTCTGTTAATATGCTGTATTGCTTAGTAGTAACTGCCTGATTTATACTTCCTACGTCCCAAAATAAGAGTCCATATTTCTATTTTTAGTTTGTCACAAAATAAATGTCCACTTTCAAATGTATGCGCCTATTTTTCAATTCTATCCTTAATTATGATATGGGAAAAATTCATTACTCCCTCTATTATTAAGGGTAAAAATGTCATTAGTTAACAGAAAGTGTAACTAAACTCTGTGACTTTTTCATTGTGGACATTATTTTGTGACTGAGGGAGTAATTGAGATATTTACTGCTTCAGGTTATGGGGTTGACTGCTTTAGGGATCCCAGCATCTATGCTAACCTCAACAACTAGCAAGGAAGATGAGAAATATATATACAAAGCACTCGAAAAAGGAGAAGGGGACCTTAAAGTATTGTATGTTACACCAGAAAAAGTTTCCAAGAGCAAGAGATTTGTGTCGAAACTTGAAAAGTGCCACCATGCAGGCCGTCTTTCTTTGATTGCAATTGATGTAAGTTCACTATTTTGGTTGTGTCAGTTACAGTTTCTTAACATGATTGATATCAAAGGTGTGAGTGGAGTAGATGTACGCATAATAAACAAATAACCAGCACAAAAGTGCAGAGGGAACTTGCTTCCAAATTTTGTTTATTTCTGGGAAATTTCAGCTGATGTTAAATAAATGAGGTGCATAACTGCATATTTGAGATGCATAAACCAAACAAAACCTGGTATATTCCACTCGGAAGTGGGGTTTGGAAGCGGTAGGATGTACACAGACTTTTCAGCTACCCCTCAAGAGGCTGTTTGCATGAGACCCCCCCCCCCCCAAAGGAGGGATTATGAAATGATTTTGGAAATACATGAGAGAAACAGAAAGTTCATAGTTTGTTAACATTTTTTGGAAGTTTTGAAGATTTTGAAAAGAAACTGGAGAGCAAGTAACATGTGAAAAATAAGAGTAGAGAAAGAGTGTGCACAAGTAGCGACAAGGACGATAAACAGCAAGGACAAATCACATATGTGAGAAAAAAGGTTAAAACAAGCAAGGACAGTAAGGCCAAGTACGAGAAAAAGTATATTGGAGATGTATATAGGATCATAAAAGGTCTATGAAAGCTGTCGTTGTGGATTGTTATGCCAATTGTGTCCTGGGGTCGTTACATGCATGGTAAGCCAGTTCAAGGCATCTGAAAGTTCCTTGAATAGGATGATTTTCGATTCTACCAAGATGAGATTGGTATAAAGGGAGAGCACCTTGACTTTGTAGGGTGTACAAGATTTAGGGTCATGTAAATGTCTTCTTTAAAATTCCAAACCTGAGCATTATACCAGAGAATTCATCTAAATGGTTTTCAACCATTTTCTGTATATCTCGACACAATATTTTTACATGTCTTGAAGGGCCTAACCAGTGCCTCTTTAAGTAAAAGTGAAATGTTACATCAGGCATGGACTGTGAAGCTTGTGGAGCAAAGGTAGTCACTTGGTTGGGTTTGGCTCCACGATTGTTGTTTGTGTTTTATCATTATATATAATTTTCATAGTTGCATTTCTAGCTCCATGATGGAATGGTCGGAGAGCCATAGGGGTGTTGAAATAATCGAAACGGAATAACCCACGAGGACCAAATGAAGTTTGGGTTAAATGGTTCGGGTTATTCTGTTATTCGGTTATTTTGGTTTGGTTTTCAGTTATTTTTATTCAGGTTCGGATAAATTGAATGAGGAATTATACATACATATTAATATATATGGGGTCGGGTTCAGTGGTAAACCGCAAAAAAATGAAAAGCTGAGGATAACTGTTCATCTAGACGGTATGCACATGTGAATACAAGTAATTTCTAAGCAATTCGTCTGATATGCATACGTGCATAAAAACCAAGTAACAACTTCAATTACTTGTATGCACATGTGTATACCGTCTAGATGAATGGTTACTAGAGTGTTTCCCAGTTTTTCATTTTTTGGGGGGTTTTCCCTTGCTCCCCCCCCCCTCTCTCTCTCTCTCTATATATATATATATAGATGAGCGATCAAATGCAAACCACCCATACTTGTACAAACCGTGCAAACCACTCTCATCCATCGATTTCATTGTCTAATCTTATGAAATTTTTTCATGAAATTGTTTAATCTTATGAAATTGTTTCATATAATACTTTTTTGGATGAAGTTGTTTCATATATGGTTATGAAATTGTTTCATATTAATGCTTATGAAATTTTAATGAGAATGTTTCATGTATTTCTCTAAAATTAATATAATGAAGATAATAATATCCATGATTTAACACCCTCCACAATAAAAAAGATTAATCAACCTCTTATAATTACAAAAATATGAACAAAATGAAAAATTATGATTGGTTGAATGAGGTTTGTACGGTTTGTACAAATAGCGTGGTTTGCAAAGTAAACCTCCTCTCTCTCTCTCTCTCTATATATATATATATATATATGTATATATAAATTATTTTGAAATTTGAAACAAATATTAATAAAATGCTTATTCAGTTATTTCATACAGTTTCGGTTAAACCAAATAAGGTATTATTATTTTTCTCCCGCCTCCTTGGTTCCGAGTTTCAAGTTTTATCTTAAACCTTTGAAAAAAATTATCAAAATGAGACCCTAATTCGGTTTACCTGATAACTAAACCAAATAACCTGAGACCGATTAAACCAAAGCTTATTTGGTTCGGTTATTAGTTTGGTCTGGGGAACATTATAAACCAAATAAACCGACCGTATAACACCCCTGGATAGCCAAGTGGCCAACGGGTGAACATTTACCGCTACCACTCACAAGGTAGCTGGCTTGTGTCATGAGCCGCTTGTGTTTAGAGAGGTTTCTGTTTATCCATTCTTGTAGCTGCCATACTTTGAATATAAACACGGTTTCATGTATCTATTTTCACCGTTGTTGACGTGTAAAGAAATATATTGATTAATTTGCAGGAGGCACATTGCTGTAGTCAGTGGGGTCATGACTTCCGTCCAGACTACAAGAATCTTGGTATATTGAAGACTCAGTTTCCTGATGTACCTCTTGTTGCTTTGACTGTATGTCTTTGTTCACATCCATCTATTTTTGAATTCATTTCCTTCCCATGTAAAATTTGATTGGAATAACGAGGTTTAAGCTTTCATAATATTATATTTGGTTTTTTTCTCTAGGCAACTGCTACAAAGAAGGTCCAATTAGATCTGATGGCGATGCTAAACATTCCAAAATGCATAAAATTTGTTAGCACAGTGAACAGACCAAATCTGTTTTATATGGTAAAGCTGTTACTAGCTGATCATGGGTTTCAGTAACCTGCTATATATTATGAGCTAGAACTGTATGGCTTACGTGGCAGGTTCGAGAGAAATCATCTGTTGGAAAGGTAGTCATTGATGACATTGCTGAGTTCATACAGAGTTCATATACAAACAATGAATCTGGAATTGTTTATTGCTTCTCCAGGAAGGAGTGTGAGCAGGTCTGTGTCTTGCACAAATAGTTTTAACTTAATTTGTTGCCATCCTCCTGTGATCATCATTTTACGGTAATTTACTGCATATAATGCCAAACTGTTGTAGGAACTTTTAGAAATTATGCTTCATAAGTCCTACATGGCATGTGATTATTGGTGACGATTTGAAATTCTTGAGAAGTGGGGTTGGTTCTGTCCAAGGCACCTTTACCTATTTTATTGCTGCATGAGGCTGGTGTCTTTGACTTTATAATCTTGTTGCTTGCTTAAGCATGCGTTTCTCCACCTTACCCTTATGGAATTTGTACAACTCTCTGGATATTCATTTATGGAGAATTTTCCATGAAATAAGTTTTTTACTAAGCATATAACAGTTGGTGGAAATGATTCGTAGAAGAAATATATAGACATAAGTGGACCATGGACTATGGACCAAGACAACATAACCCAACTGAAAAACATAAGAGTTCACATATAATGATGTAAATTCCCTATATCTCTAAGACTCCTCAGGCTGGAGCATATATATGTTGAACAAGCCAACTTGTTGCATCCATGGTCAATTTGTGCTCCACATAGATGCTTCCTCAAACTGTAAACTTGATTTGTCGAACACCGCCAGATTGGCTCAATGGGAGATTCAGGGGAGGTACTGACATCCTTTTCCTTTATGAAACGACAATCCATCTCAATGTGATTGGCATACTCTATGAAAGATCTTGTTTTGGAAATGTTAACAGCAGCTTCATTAGCATATCTATCAATGTCAGTAGTGGGATCACTCAACTCTTTTGATATCTTCGGCACTGAGGTCATATGTCTTTTGTTTTTGGAAGTGTGAGGTCAAATATTTACTGATGAGTTTGATGTTTACAGGGCTACTTTTCCTGGCATGATAATCTTTCCTTGTGTTAGGAGTGCAAGTGAGGAAAGGAAAATATCTTTACCTGCTATGTACTAGAGTTGTGCTGGCTTGCAAATGATCAAACATAACCTTTCAATGTTATAGACTAAAGTTATAACCTTTCAATGTTATAGACTAAAGTTTGGTTTAAAACGGCACATAACAAAATAAATGTCAAGGTCCAAGGGTTATAGCTAGGAAATGCAAAGTGACAGATAACAAATAGGAACATCACTGTCTTGAGAGATGGCAGGGTTAGCAAAGTGTTGTGTTGTCGTGTTCGAAATTGAAACTAATATACATATTAGTTGTCATCTCTCTCTGATAAGGTTGATGTAAGAGTTTTTCTGGACCATATTAGTGGCTCTAATGCTTCATGATGAGGTACTTCTTTGTGTTTGTCTGGAATTTGAACTTATGGCAAGTGTGTGCACCTCTATTGTCAATATATTTACTATATTCTTTTGTGCTCAAGGACCATAGGTTGCAAAGGAATTGCGTGAGAGAGGGGTTTCAGCTGATCATTATCATGCAGATATGGATGTCAATGTCCGTGAAAAAGTTCATATGCGGTAAATGTAGTTTCAGATGTTCTTTACTGTGGATGTTTACTCTATCATCTTTTACTTACTTTCATCAGCTTTCGTATGTAGAAAGTATCATTACAAAGCCAAAATTGATTTAGAGTTTACTTATTCCTTACAAATAATAATGAACCATATACTTTTCGACAGGTGGAGCAGTAGCAAGTTGCAGGTCATTGTTGGGACGGTACGGTTGCTAGTATTACCTTTTAACTCTATTTATAATTCCAGTTAGTCAATATAGCTCTGTTTTTTTCTAACAGGTGGCTTTTGGTATGGGAATTAACAAACCAGATGGTTAGTAGTCATTCTTCACCTACTATTTGTAATGTTTTACCTCGTGGAGACTTGCATGAAAGCATTTTTCCATGCCATCTCATAAGCACAAGTGATTTGTCATCGACATCGACACATCGTACACAGACATGTATAGTATAATTGCGTATTGTTTTGAACAGCATCTTCCAACCAATATATAATGCAGGTAAGTATGTGGGAATCCATATATACAATAGTTTTTTTTTTCCATAGTATATCATTATCATCACTCACATAAATTAACAAGAAATAATAGACAAATAAATCAGAAATTTACATGGCGACTCTTGTTGGAAGAAATTTACATAAGCTTTTAAGTCATGCTTATGCTGCCAATTAGCTCCAAGATATTGAAGTTGAGGAATTAAACCCAAAAGACTCAATAATGAAGAGATGGGGTAACAAAATAGAGAGAGATGTGCAAATTGCAATAAACAGGGTTGTAGCATTATAGAAATGAAACCCAAAAGACTCAATAATGAAGAGATGGGGTAACAAAATAGAGAGAGATGTGCAAATTGCAATAAACAGGGTTGTAGCATTATAGAAATGAACGCATATGAAGATGCTTGCCACAAATTTCTATTATCTATTTCTTGTATTCTGTTTACAAATACATGAGACCATATTTATAGAGGGTACAATGTCGGTTAAGTGTGGTTGAATTGACAGGTGACTGTATTAGGCTATCACTTGAACTTGGCCAACATATGAGCCAGGTTATCTGCGATACCATCCTTCAACACATGAACACATCAACACATCACAATTTGCCTTGGCAACAATATCTCCAATAGAACGCTAATGAACATCAATGTGCGTTATCCTCTCATGATGCATTAGATTTTTGGTGAAGCATATAGCACTTTGACTGTTGTAATGACAGTTGCACCATGATCCAAGCTAGCTCATCAAACAAACCTCTCAACGAGGTAATTTCTTTAATTGGTTGGGTAACCGCTATATGCCATTGTAGTTGAAGAGCAACTCTATGCTGTAAAGTCGCCATTTGTCGAACTGCACAATCCCAAAAATGAATACATGGGTGAATTGGCAAAACCACGTTATAAGATTCAAAAAGGAGGGGAAACCCAAACCTTAAAAGGAAATCCAGCTCTTGGCAGATCCCTAATATCATTAAAGTCGATGATGAAGACACTAAGGAATGAAGGCCAAGGGGTGTTAATTGAATTAGGAAATGTGGAAGCTGAGAACAAGGGTAGCAAAACGTTATCGGACAACATGGAGAAACTAATAAAGGAGTATGAGGCTGTTTTTTGTATAGATGGGTTGCCACCAAAAAGAGGGAGAGAACATGGGATTGTGCTTAAGCAAGGAGTAGAACCGGTCAAATTTTGCCCTTATCGTTACCCGCAATACCATAAGGATGAGACCGAAAAATTGGTCAAAGAAATGTTGAGTGCAATAATAATCCAATATAGCCAAAGTCCATTCTCAAGTCCGGTACTTTTGGTTAAAAAGGACGGGAGTTGGAGATTTTGTGTTGACTATAGAGCTTTAAATAAAAATATAGTACCGAGCAAATTTCCAATCCCGATAATTGAGGAGTTGCTAGATGAATTATATGGGGCTGCTTATTTTTCAAAACTGGATCTTAAATCTGGATATCACCAAATCAGAATGAAGGAGGACGTACACGAAACCGCTTTTAGAACACATGAAGGCCACTATGAGTTTCTGGTTATGCCTTTTAGCCTATCCAATGCTCCGTCAACATTTCAAGCACCGATGAACTATATATTTCGACCTTTTTTAAGAAAATTCGTGTTGGTATTTTTTGACAATATTCTGGTGTATAGGGACGAAAGTGACCATGTAAAGCACTTACGGGAGGTCTTTAAGGTGCTATAGGAAAACAACTTGTATGTGAATTGGAAAAAGTGTGAGTTCGGCCAAGAAGAACTAGTATATTTGGGGCACATGGTCTCAAAAAAAGGGGTGTCTATAGATATGACAAAAGTTGTGGCAATGCTCAAATGGCCAACACCAAAAACTATAACACAACTAAGGGGATTTTTGGGTTTAACCGGTTACTACAGAAAATTCATCAAGGGGTACGGGCATATTTCGAGGCCTTTAACGAATTTGTTGAAGAAACAAGGATTCAAGTGGCAAGAGGCAGCTGATGTGGCCTTCGAAGAATTAAAGAAGGCATTGACTTCAGCCCCAGTTTTGAAGCTGCTAGATTTTAATCAGCCATTTGAAATTGAAATAGACGCATTGGGCCATGGCGTTGGGGAGGTATTACAGCAAGGGGGACAGCCGATCGCATACCACAACCAAGTGTTGGGTCAGGTTGCTCGATAGAAACACATATATGAGAAGGAACTCATGGCCATTGTATTTGTTGTAACAAAGTGGCGATCGTACTTGATCGGAACGAAGTTCGTTGCAAGGACAGACCAACAAAGCTTGAAGTTTTTAGTGAAGCAAAGGTTGGTGGAACCACAATACCATAAGTGGTTAACCAAGCTTTTGGGATACGAGTTTGAAATCATTTACAAAGCAGGAAAGACAAACCAAGCAGCAGATGCACTATCAAGGAGAGACGTACAGTGCTCTACAATGGGGGACCTCAATGGAGACAATGGGAGACCATCAAAGAGGAAATAACCGATGATTCATTTCTAAATAGGGTAATGTCCGAGCTACAATCACAAGAAGGGGGGCACACAGGATTTGAAGTAAGGCAAGGTTTATTATGGTACAAGGATAGGTCGGTAATCTAGAAGTCATCACAATTGATTCCTATCATTTTGGAGGAATTTCATGCATCACCAATGGGGGACACTCCAAGGAGGAGAGAACGTATCAAAGAATAGTATCTGAATTGTTTTGGGTGGGCATGAAGGGAGATACAAGGGAATGGGTCAAGAAGTGTGAGGTCTGTCAAAGAAATAAAAACCTAAGTGGAACACCTGCTGGCTTGTTGCAACCAATTTCACTACCGCTAATGGTATGGGAGGAATTGATTATGGATTTTATAGAAGGACTACCAAAATCGGAGGGCATAGATACAATTATGGTGGTAGTGGATTGGTTAAGCAAATACGCTCACTTCATTCCATTAAAACACCCATTTTCAGCAGCAACGATAGTCGAAGCTTTTATACGGGAGATTGTTGAACTACATGGCATTCTGAACTCGGTGATCACGGATAGGGATAAGGTTTTTCTTAGCAGTTTTTGGAAGGAGATTTTCCGATTACAAGGCACTAAGTTAAAGTTCACCACTGCATATCATCTACATTCCGACGGACAAACGGAAGTTGTCAACCGCAGCATTGAGCAGTACTTACGGTGTTTTACGTCAGACAAGCCACGACTATGGAAGAGGTGGCTGGCATGGACTGAATATTGGTACAATACCACGTATCACTGCTCCATTCGTTGTTGACCGTTTAAAACATTATATGGGAGAGATGCTCCAACAGTATTGCGCTTTAGAGAAGGCTCAACCGTTGTTCCAGCCGTGGAGCAAATGCTAAAAGACAGAGATTATGCGATTAATTTGCTATGAATGTTCTTAATGCAAGCACAACACAAAATAAAACAACAAGCTGATGTGCACAGGAAGGAGGTAAATTTTGACATTGGAGATATGGTTTTCTTGAAGCTTAGGCCTTACCGACAGAAATCTTTAAGTAGCAACAACCAAACGTTGTCCGCGCGTTTTTATGGACCATTTAAAGTGGTAGGCAAGGTGGGAAGGGTGGCTCATCGCTTGGAATTGCCAGCATCTATACGACTCCATCCAGTGTTTCATGTTTCTCAATTGAGGAGAGCAATCGGACAATGCGCCTCGTCAACCATATTGCCGAATCAATTAAATGACGATATGGAAATGATAGTAGAACCGGAAGATGTCCTACAAATACGAACAACAAAGGATGGAAGACAAGAGGCGTTAATCAAATGGAAGAATTTACTGTGATTGAAGCCTCCTGGGAAGATTGTGAAGTGTTGAAGATGCAATTTCCTTCTTTTCATCTTGAGGGCAAGATGCAAGTGTTGTGGATAAAGTAATAAGTCCTCAATTTTACAGATAACCATCTTATGTTTATTTTAATTGTTTTATTTGTTTTTCTTTAGGATCCGTTTTATTCTAGGAGTCTTTTACTTATTAGTTTAAATACCTTCATTGTTTACCTTTTTGGAATATAGAGATCAATTTATTATAATTCAAGTCTCTACAATTGAACAGGGAGAGACTGCAGCCTCTCGAAAGCTGTAGGGTTTTAATACTCTAATCTTGGCATCCTTTTATCGACTCTTATCAATTACCTGATGAATGATGCTATTGCATAAAAGATATCTGCTTCTTTGTGCCTCATGTGGGGAATATTAGGATCAGTTTGTTTACGCTCTCTGATTCTTTCACTTCCTTTTTTCTTGTTCCATGAAGTAGGTGGGCCATAGATACACATTGAAAAAGCCTTAATGTTCCACAACCTTTACAAACACATACAATTGGAAACATAAGCTGTTTAAACGAATAAATCCTAAATATTTGTGTGCTGCAGTCTTTAAAATGGTTCTTTATCTTATTCTTTTGACTTGTATGGTTTTATTATATTTTACATTGTATGTTGCTATAGTCAGGTTTGTCATACATCACAGCCTAGGTAAATCAATGGAGACTTACTACCAGGTTTGCAGCCTTCCATAAAAGCTTATTTTTAGCATGTAGTAGTCTTGTCTGTGACTTCTCTAATTCCAGGAAAGCGGTAGAGCAGGGCGGGACGGGCTTCCTTCTGAATGTCTACTTTACTTTAGGCCTGCAGATGTGCCTAGGCAGGTATAGATTGTTGGATGACATTTTTTCCATATATTCATTTACTTATATAATACCCTTCAACCACACTCTCGTTACAGAGTTCCATGGTCTTCTATGAGAATTCTGGGCTGCAAAATCTATATGACATGGTGCGATATTGTCAGGTATTCTTCTTTGCTAATCAATTGATTACTCCCATGTCAATGGTTTTATCTGAATATTAAATCATCACTCAAACAATTAATGGGTTGAATGTAGACAACACAACTTTTATCTGGAGTTTCTGTTGATAAAGAGTTGGATGGATTCTAGGAGAAATTTGACTAGTATAGATTTGGAAAGAATCCGATAGAGTGTACAACTTGTTTGGAACATTAAATATTGAGTTTTTGTCATATGGGAATCTTGTCGACGTGAAAGTTTGATGTCTTGATCATATGATGAAAAGACCTTATTTGGTATCGGCGTCTATAATCAACCCATATACCGACTTAATATGAAGGCTTCATGCATGCACACATATATTACAAAATTTGGGTCTCCATATCTTATGATACGATAGGCAATATGTTCGATGACACAAAATAGTGTAGTTTTTCACTAACAATTATGCTTATAACCCACATTGTGATCCTCCCTTGGCTGTCCAAGTTATTTGTTAGATAGAGCTTGTCCAAGAACTTGAGTGCAGAGATGATTACACATCTCAAAGACCGCCAAGGAAAATAATTGCTATCTTGTATATTACAACTAATTTGTATATCTTCTAACTGCAGTCTAAAAAAGAATGCCGTCGAAGTGCTTTCTTCCGACATTTTGCTGAGCCTCTGCAAGATTGTAATGGTATTTTATTCTGTTATCTTATTATGGGAACTAAAATACTCGCTCTTGTGGCCTTTTAGCAGGGGCAAGTGATGGCATGTTATAGTTTATTTTACACTATTGCAGGGATGTGCGATAACTGTGCCTTTTCATGTGAGGTCAAGGAAATTGATGCATCCGGTATGCATCTTTACTCTTATGAAAAGATAGCTTCTTAATTCTCAGAGATTGGTTCTTTCTTGTTATGGTATTCCTGAACGATTGGAGGGCCCTCATGGGCATGAGAGTAGATCAATGGGCAACCATCAAAGTTACCGAGGACAAAATTACCTATTGGCTTCCCATTAACTAAATTGGAAACTGACATTTTTCTCGTCAATCCATATAAATGGGACCCACAAACAAAAATGCTAAATGGTGAAAACAAATGCCCTAAGATTTAGAGAGTAGATTTGTTGAGCTCTTGTAAATAGGTTAAGGTTAGAACAAGGCAGGGATCGATTGGTAAGATCGAGTATGACCTTTTGCCATGTTTCGCTACTTTCTCGTTGTAACCCATCATAGGAATATACTAGTAGTAATCACTAGTTTGATATATGTGATAGATGAATATAAAGCAGATACAGAGGTGGCCACCATTGGTTGATAAAGGATGTGTTTGTCCTCTCTCTAGTAATCCAGTGTTTAGAGTAGTTTAATATGTACGCTTTTAGTTTGTGTGTAAATGATGAAAGACCCAGAATCTCTCTTCCAATCGTTTCTCCTATGGCATGGATACTTACACTAGGTCTGGATTGCAGGCCATGCAAGAGCTGTTGTATCTTTGCTGCAAGAAATCCAAGAAAAGGATCAGAGAGCAACGATGTTGCAACTGGTGGACAAATTGAAGGTTAAAAACAAGGAAGTAGGTCGGTAATCTCAAAGCTTGTAGATCTTTTGGCAAAGGATAATTTCTGCTTTCATTCTTAAGGTTTAGAAGATATTGTGTGATTCATTTGCTACTAGATATGCATAAGATGCTCCTAAATTACACTATTGACCTCAATCTCCATTCTTCATTTTATGTTCCCCATCCTCAGTTCTCTTCACCTCAAGTAAGTGGAAACCCAAAATCACCCGTTGTTTCTCCTAAATCTATCTGTTAGGCTGTTTAACATGTCAAAATTTCCAGTCTGTCTTACATGGTCTGATGAGAAATGAAGTCATGATTGTTGTCTCCGCGGAGAATGGGGATGGACCCACCACATGAAATGAGTGATAAAATTATTTTACTTTCCATGGTATTATTTAGGGTTTGAGTTGAAGAAGGATGAATTAGAGCAACTTGTCATTCAGCTTATTCTCCACCGGGTATTGGTAAGAATAATCACCTTTTAACACATCAAAATTAAAAAGAATATGGGTTCTCACATCTATCACTTCAAATTTTTGTTGTTTATCTAATGTTACTGTAATTCTCTATCCTCTATCTTTATCAACTGTTTTAATGTCATAATTGGCAAAGATATACAACTTTATATATGATTCTTTGGCTTTATTTTTGCATGCAGAAAGAAGAATTTTCTCATACAGCTTATGCCACTAATGCTTATGTGACAATTGGTCCACTTGCAAAGCATGTTTTGCATGGTAAGCCACGTCAGTTTTTTTAAATATATATACCATTCAAGTAACAACTGATCCATGACTAATACTAGAGTTCAAATCGATTCCCACCTTGGCCATAGTTCTCCATCTGTAAAATTAGGATTCAAAGTTTAGCTGTTTTCACTCGATTATAGTCATGACTAAACTGAAGTACTGAATTAAACTTGGAGCATGGCCGTAGATCCTTTGCCTTTTTCTGAAAAAGAGGTATTGCAATTTCCATCAAACATCCCAAGAAGGAAGTTGTTGCCAATTTTCAAAGGAGGGAGTATATTGTATCGTTTCATCATCCAAAAAATGGTTCTTTCTGCCAAAAAATGAACTCATGCTCTTTTTTCAGAATGTTCTATATTGCTTATTATTTTATGATGCTACACAGAGAAGAAGATTATTACGCTTGAGGTTACCAGTGGAGAAAGAAGTAGCACTGGCATCACAAAATCCTCCAAACGCAGCAGATACTCGGGATTGGAAGTCAAGCTTGATAATCTTCGCAAGGAACTCTCTTCTATTCATGGAGGAATATTTCCTCATTCTATTTTGTCAACACAGCAGATCAGCATGGTATGCTCTCAGAAACCGGAAACAACAGAACAGGTGACCATCCGAAACTCGTATAATAGACAGTTTGAAGCATGCATCTTATTGAAGTTAGTTAACTGTATGATTGTCCTTTTTCTTATTAGCCATTTAATGTTCCCGTTTATATGAAGTTAGAATATGTGATCATGGGCTCCATTTCCCCTTTTCTTGACAAAAGATGTATGGGTCCTATTTACTTGATGTAATGAAGATGTAACCATGAAATGAAGAATAGAGAATGAAGGAAAAAGATATAAACAAACCAAATGTTAGTTATTTATTTTAGGGCGAAATGCATCAAAATGTAACAAAGTTTGGTTTAGTTCCTATCTAGTGTAACGGATTAATTTTCTTTAATTGATGTAACGAAGTTCCAAAATTTCTTACTTTCTTCACATTTTAACCGATACCCTGTTAATCTTGTAACATATAATGACGTGGATACCCGTTTACAAATGTTCACGGAAGGGTCATGGCGAAATGGACGATAAACTTGAAATCCACATCATAAAATGTCACCAGATCAAAATGGGTAAAAAATAGGAATTTTATAAACTTTATTGCATTAAGCATGAAATTTTGAACCTTGCTACATTGATTAAGAAAAAAATTCTTGGTTACACTTACACAAAATAGGAACTAAGGGGCCGTGTACTAGATGCTTACTGGGTAAGCACTTACCGATATCAGTTACCCTACTGACATGACAAGGACCAAGAATCTTACCTAATAAGAAGCATAACAATTACCGAGAGTCGTACCTGGTAAGCGCTCACTGGGTTTAAGACTCTTACCAACAATCCGTTTTGATGGCCTAGAATGTTAAATGATAAGGTAAGTGAGAGTAATTTCTCTTGGCGGTAAGTGCTTACCCGGTAAGCATTCAGTAAACGACCCATAAGCAAATTTCATTGGATTTTGCCTGTATTTTAAGTTTTATTTATTCGACAATATAGTTTTATGGGAACCTGGATTATCATGGACAGCAGCAGAACAATTTATTCATCATTTCTTTTGACCCTATATCTCTGTAGTGAAGCAACTAAAGCTGGTTAATATCCTGTTACTTGCAGTTGGAGAAGATAATTGGTAAACTGAAGACACAGAAATATGGAGATAGAATTCTTGAAGTGATCGGAAAGCACGAATTTGATGAAGAACAAGGCCATCAAGATTCATCATCGGATAAAGAACGGCAAACGAGCGTAAACAAAAGTGCAAAGAGATCAAGAAATAAGAAGGTGGTTGTCATTGAGAGCAGTGAAAATGAAGATTGAAAGCAGGCTAATAGACTTGTATGTAGAGGACAACCTTGTTCCATGTATTGTTAGTCTTCTTCACCAAAGTGTGAAGCTGCTGCTGCTTGAAGCAGATTTTTGGTTCATCCGATAACGGAAAGTCCTGTGACAGAGATAACAACTTGAAGATTGAGATCCATATCTCAGTAGTCTAACCTTTCATCAACGCTTCAACCTAAAGTTTTTCATCATCATCATCCTGTACTACAGAGGTACACAATATAGTATATGTGTGTGTATATATATATATATATATATAGAGAGAGAGAGAGAGAGGGGGGAGAGGTTCACGGGAAAAACCTTAAAAAAATGAAAAACGGAAGAACATTCGGTACCCATTCATCTAGATGGTAAGCACATGTGCATGTAAGTAATTAAAATTGTTTCTGGGCTTTTATGTACATGTGCATATAAGACAAATTGCTTACAAGTTACTTATATGCACTAGTCCATACCGTCTAGATGAATGGTTACCGGTGTGTTCCTAAATTTTTCATTTTTTTGCAGTTTTCTTGACCCTATATATAGGATCCGGTTCAAATAAATATCATGAGACCGTAGGAATGAAAGGTTCATATGTGAATCATTTTTAAAAAATCCAAAAAAATCTATCTAAATATGCATATGTGAACTGATGTTACGGATTATTCATATGGGTTCACATATGCATCTTCAAATTGATTTTTTTCAGTGATTCACATATGAATCTTTTTTTCTTACCTTCTCACAATATCTAGCCTTCTTATTTGACCCTCCATGAACCATATACACACACAGAGAAAATTGGGTTCAGGGAAAATCACAAAAAATAGAAAACTAAGAAACATCTTAATAACCATGCATTTGCCCGATAACGCACATGTGCAAAAAAAGGGTTATGTACCTAAAAGACCTTTGCCCAACAATTGTATTAGAAATATGAGCTAGTATAAGTGGTAAACCAAGACCAATTTGTCGAAGAAAAACCAAGGATCGAATGTAACCGGTTGAGTTGGTCCCTCTAACTGGTCCGTTTTTCTTTAATATGTTAACCTCCTTGGTTTTTTCTTATTGTATATTACCTTTTTCTTTAGTGAAATTACTATTAATAAATGTGCTACAATAACATATGTTATTTGCTTCAATCAAATAAGATTTTACTTATTTAATTATAAATATAAAATAAAACCATAACTTCTTAAAACTTGTACAAATGTAATTGGTCATGGTTGAATCAGTCCTTAGCTAGTCGTTTGGGAAATTGCGTAACTGATTTCGACTGATCAGTTCCAACTTGTACGGTCCCTTTTAATTCGTCTGAAATGCCCATCTCTAATTACTATTAGAATTTGTTGTATTGAAAATATTATGAACGTGTTCTCCGCCCTAGTGTAGCCCTGTAAAGAGAGTGTGGACGCTGAATTGAATTAACGATCTGTATTGTTTTGTTGTGTTGCTTTGAGTATTACAATTAATATCGTCAACACTTCTAACAATGTGTTGTAGGGGTATACACGGATTGAGTTGGCTTGATTGAAAATATTTGACTCATCTGCAAGTTGAGGAGTTGCTACTTGCGGAGCTATTGACATTTTTAAAATTTTGGGAGAGAAATAACTAAAAGGTAAATTTGTCTGATAGAAATGACTATTTTGAGCAATTTCTCGATAAAATATTATAAGTTTAATTATGTACTCGATTTACATTAACAATTTTTATTAATTTATATATACATTAAATTTTGATTTTTTTATAATTTAAATATATTAAAAAATACATATATATTTATTTTCACTAGGCTAAATATAATAATATAACAATTATTTGTTTATTATTAATTTAAATATATTAATACATTAATTGTTTATGTTTATGTTTATTAATTTAGGTGGTGTTAACGATGTTTGGGATTGTTTATTTGAAACAATTTATATTTTTTTATAAAAGCATTTATCAACATATTATAAGTCAGAAGGGTTAAATTTTTTCAAAAACTTCTTATTACCGATTTGGCACCGGTATAAGTTGTTTATCTAAACACTCAAAAGTGCTTATTACCGGCGTCACACCGGAATGATTCAATAAGTTGTTTTTATAAGCAATCTCAAACACCCCCTTAAATATCTATACTATATTATAAAATATTTGATAAAAACTCTTAAAAATCATTTTTTATGCATAAAGTATTATTTATTGATGTATATTACTTAAATTCAAGATCACAAGTAGATTATACGTAAGTACAACTTACTAAAGCTCTGTGTTTGAATTCGTGTAACTAATTTCAGACAAACATAATTAAAAACAGGATAAACATCCTTTTTAAATATAAAAAAACTAAAATATAATTACGATAATAATTAAGTCTAACAGAATACTTAATTATTATCTTTATAAAAATTATATTATTAAACCAAAAATAACTTATTTCGTTATTAAACTTAAATTTAACTATACAAAATTGAACTAAAGAAATTACACAAAAAAACGAGAACTTGTAAATAATTATCGCTTTCTCAAAACCACATAAATTTGTATTATAACATCGATGGAGACAAATACTAAAACGAAACATCAAAATCGAGATGTATCTCACTGCATTGCACGGATTTTGTAATATAAATAAATTGAAATCCCATAATTCCGTTATCTTAACAACAAATAACTCCCGTTTTTTAAAATTCACAAATTTTTTTATAAATTATAAATGGTTGATCGTGAAAAATCTCTGAAATAAAAACCTTTTTAAAAAATTTCTAATATGGTAAAACCATTCATATGAAGTATAAAATATTCATAAATAGTAAACATCCACATAGATTCATCACCTGTAGCGAAGTTGGAACTTTTGACGTCCTATTAAGTTGGGCTTTACATATAATTTGGGCACTGTTGGGCCAATGACCCTTTCATCTCCACTCAAATATTACAACCCTGTGAAAACCGATCACATCCATTCAAAATGAGTTTCAATTTACGATAGGATTGAATGTGTTTCACGTGTGCTATTTTCGTGTGTGTATATGTTTCATATATGAAACAATACAACACGCTTCATATGTTTGTGTATATATGTATAAGACATGGATACATACATACATACATATACATATATATATATATATATATATATATATATGTGTGTGTGGTCGAGTTGTGGTGAGAAATACTCATTTCTATGAGAAGGTGAGAAAGGGTGAAGGTACCTTCATATCATGTAAAACTTTGCTATGATACATGTGAGCATACAGTTATACACTATGAAGATTGTGTGACCAAAAATACAAAGTTCAAGTCATGTAGGAAAGTTACAACCTTAACATAATATAACGTATCATTCACACAATATAAAGGTACCTTCATATAAATTATTTCACATGAACATAACTCACTCACAAACACACACACACACTATCTCTCTCTCTCTCTCTCTCTCTCTATATATATATATATATATATACACTATATTATAAAACATTTGGCTAAAACTCTTAAAAACTCTTAAACCCGTTCATCCCTGACGATTTCATTCCTATCCGATTTCATCTCATATCTGAATTCGTATAACTAACTGCAGATAAACATAATCAAATACAGGATAAACATCTCATTTTAAATATAAAAAATCTAAAATATAATTAGTATAATCATTAAATTATAACAGAATACTTAATTATTATCTTTATAAAATTTATAATATTAAACCAAAAATAA